CCAGGTCATATCCCTCGATGTCTTTCCACAAACGAGAAGCGCCATGATACTCTTTGTTCGCTTCCAAGAATTCCCTGAAGAGGCGTTTACCGATCGGCTGTTCCACACAGACCGAGTCAAAGGCCAAATCTAGGGTGTCCCTCAGGCCCTCGCAAACGGTTATGTGGGGCAATTTGAGGCGAGCATGGTACTTCTTATCCCGAGCTGTTGCAGGGTTGGAACCATCAATGCTTCCACGTGCGTTGATGTACGCAGAATTTGCTACCACAGTGGTCAGTCCTCCAATATCCATGATGAAAGCAGGTGAGTGTTAGGCGAAATTGAGGGAAGACATTGCAAAGACGAAACAGGCAGATGATGAATGCTTCTATTTACTCTTTAAGAAATTAGGATGGAAAAGGGGGGAAAGGAGCGAGGAGAAGGGAGACAGAGGAGTGACCGAGGGAGCATGAGGGAGAAAATGCAACTGGAGAAGACTGCAGCACACTTTGAAGACGGCACCACACACATATACACACACAGGAACACACACACCTGAGTCAACACCTTTCAGTAATCCATTAACACCCCAATGCCCCAGACAAAGTATGCAAGCACCTACTGGAACACTACAACTCCAGAACTGTGTGCAGGAGACAACTGGTACAAAAAGACTAAACTCATTCTGCTTCACTTAAAAGAAAAGAAATGCGAGAGAGAATACATTTTTACTAGCGTTTGTCATACTGTGAGGGGAAAAAACAAAACGCAAAGCAGAATAATCTGCAGCTGATATAAAATGATAAATTAAATGAATCAACCAAGACAGAGCAGTCCTTCACTCTGACAAGGTGCAAAAGGGTTACATTGGTTTTAATGTTAGAAATAACTGACATTTGGCGGTGCAGTGGTTAGCGCACATGATCCATGTACGGAGGCCTTAGTCCTCGACACAGGCGACCTGGGTTTGAATCTGGCCTGTGGTCCTTTCCCGCATGTCTTTCTGCCTCTCTCATACTTTCCTGTCAGCCTACTGTCTATAAAAACAAGCAACTATACCATAAAAACTAAAAAAAAAATAATAACTGACATGAAAGGAATTGTAATGAGGATTAAACCAAAGTTTAGCTATTAAACAATAAACATATCTGTGACCACTAATCAATCTCCCTAAAATTACAGTTGTTTTCAAAATACTAACAGCCCCTATTGCTCTTTTTGTTAGAGTTAACATTACGGCCTCTGCAACTCAGAACTTAACACTGACAATTAAAAGCTAATCTAACAGAAAGAAGCCAGAGGGTTAAATGTGCCACAGAACATATCGGCTGATCTAAAAAGAAATGGAGAAACATTCTGTAAACTTTGTTTTTTTTTATCAAAGACTACAGGCAGGTTGTTAGACGACACGTAATATTATTCTTTTTTTGTCATTATGTTACACACAATGGAGCACTTTGGTTGGATAAAATACTTCAAAATACATTAAGAGATTATGTTCCTTTATGCAGAAGAGGGGATACACTTGAAACGGGTGTTTCCTAAAACACACCAGCCAGCCAGAAGCATCTATGTTTCTTATTAACAAACTCTGACTTATGGAGTCGTCAGCCTAATTCCCGGACCTTAATCTGAGTAAAAACTCGTGAGCTGACATAAAAAATGCAGTCTTTGAGGCAGAACTAAGAAATGCAGAGGAATTATTAAACCCTCCTGCTCCCAGGGCTAAGACTTTGGTAGACTCAATGCAATGAAGATTTCAAGTATTTAAGTGAAAAAGTCTAAATATTGCTTCATTGATTCACAGAATTGATAAATCCTGCAGACTTTGCATTTTATCCAGTGAAAACTTCCGCTAGCGTAGAATAATGCGGGCTGCTATTTGGTTGAACAGCCCGACATTTTTGCTTTGTTTGTTTTATGTGAAGGTGATTAAAAAATCTGTACCTTTTTTTAATGTTTTGATTTAGAAAATAACATACATTGCGCCAAATGCATGACAATAAAAGCTACTTTTAGAATTTTAAGCTTTATGTCATACAACAAACATTTGATGGGGTGTGCTCAGGTTAGATGACATGAAAATGTCACTTCATGGTCTCGATATGAAGTATAGGATTGTGAAAAAAACGAAGATACAGAACACACCATGTGCATGGTGTAAGACAGAGGTTGATGCATTACACTGCAGAGATACTGCAGCAAAACACACCTGTACAAGAACTGTCTTAAAAAAAGTACTGGTTAAGTACTATTAAACTGCCATGATGTTAGTTACATTATAAAATATGAAAATATACGTAAAATCACAGGCTTTTTATTTGAAAAGGTGAGGTCGTTTTGCTTCAAAACTTATTCTATAACAGAGCAACTCAACATACCTTTATTATTATTAAGATGCAAGATTATATAAAAAGGACATAGCAGAGCTTCTATGCTGTTCTTTACTTTACCGAAGTGGCCCCATCCTTTGGGAATTTTAATTTTGAATTCTCAAATCATGGGAATATATGATGTAGAAAACAAAATATGAAAAAAAAAATAGATATATTTTACTTCAGACTTTATTGGCCAGTAAACCTCATTAAGTCTTTTTATGTTTATTTTGGCCTCCAGCTGACCTGCAAACATCTAGTTCATTTACATTATTTCTTTTAAAGCTAAAATATTAGCACTAGGATCTCTCTTTAAAAGGAAACAAAGCGTATAGCAATGTGAAAGCACTTTTTATTTTAAACTATACTTTTCAGACTTTTCTTGATTTTATCTATATTTTAATTTTAAATCAAGATGTGATTGGCAAATTTTAGATAGACATATCAAATTAAAAATAATACGATAGGAAAACAATGGCATATATTATGCTTTTAACAAAATAAAAGCTGTAAAAAGCATCTTTCTTCCAGATTAGGATTATGGAATTATGGAAATACATAACTTTTACCATCTCTTCATGGCTGCAAAGGAAACTTGAGTTTTTCTTTCCTTTTGGTGATTAAATATATTTTGTAGATACTTCATTTGCATAGATGACATTTATTTCCTTAATTTTACATTTCCTACTTTTTTTCAGCCAGCTCTTGTGAACTATAAAAGAACACAATACCTGTTCAAACTTAAATTGTTAAAAGACCTCCAATTTATCGATTTCATTTATTAGAATTGTATAATAAGCACAATATAAAGTTTATTTTAATGTTTGTTGGTCAGAGTCCTAAAAAATCAACACTAAAGCATGGTTGGTATAAAATGTTGAAAGCCTGTTTGAGGACATACCACAGCATTTCACTTGGATTTAAGTCTGGGCTTTGACTAGGCCATTCCAAAACTTTACTTTTGTCTTGAATGTCCTTTCAACATGTACCTAATCATTGTTCTAACAAATATTTTGTAAAATTCCAGTCTCCTAAGGGATAGCTCAAGTTTTTGGACATCTTTGAAAAGTTCCTAGTCTGTAGCTGAAAAGAAACACACTGGAAAAACGATCTAGAAATAAGTAAAAATTTCTCATATTAAGTTTATTTAGCCTTAATTTGAGAAGGTAAATGAAAATATTCACATATGGAATGAGTATTTTTGCTCTTAATATGGTATTTAGATAAAATGCACTTGAAATAAGACAATGCAATTGTGTTTCTTATTTTAAATGTAGATTGTCTTGTTTCATTGGCAACATTTCTTTTTCATTTCAAATGTACATATTTTAAGAAAAAATGACTTATCCAGATTTAGATTTTTTCCAGTGCAGTGTCACTACTGTCACAGAGCCTCCTATGAGAAAAAGTTGGTATAACAAGAGTGGAGAAAAAGTAGTTCCAGTAACGTAACAGCACGGTTAACCATGGATTTTAAGATAATTAAGAAAATATTTGTTTCCTCAGACTATTTCAACAATTTCAGCCCTTGATATCACTTAGGACTATTTTTTTAGTCTCTTCTTTAGAATATCCTGTCCTAATCCCCGAACAACTTATTACCATGAGTCCACTTCTCAATTTGTATTAGCAGACCAAAAAAAAAAACGTCATTGGAATATTTAATCAAAAATGTAGGTTTTAGGTCAATGTTGGACATAAAATATTTTTAACTCCAACAGAGACCTCAACATGGAGGATCTGAACCTTGCATTGATTTAAATGTTGTCGTTTTGTCTGTGTGTCCTCTTGGACATGGGTAAACTGGCAATCCTTTCAAAGGTTGATCAGTTTCACAATTTTAATTGGAGTGTGAACGTTTTTGAAGACTTTCTAGACCTGAACATCGACCACTGTTAATTTTAAACCCATTTAATTTTAAATCAGCTTTACATGAACTATTAGATTTTACAGTTATAGCTGCCTTGGTTTGAAGTTTTCATCTCAGATTTTCAATAAAAATGCAAAGGCTAGGTTGAATAGCATTTTCTCCCTTATATTTAAAAATGCCTTGTAATTATTCGATTCAATCTGAAATAAATGAAAATCAGGGTTAAAACAATCCATCAGATTTTGTTTTAAAACTGCACGAAAATGCATGAGCCCATCTACATTTCTCTTGCTTCTTTAAAACAGCTCTATATGCAGCAATGTTGCACATTATCCAAGCCATTGTTCATCAATCTTACAGTTTAATAAAAAAGGCAAATAAAACTGTGGCAGAAACCTTGCAGCTTTGTATCCGACGGTATATAAAATGATGCATTCCATTGGCTTCGCTATGATTTCATTAAATATTTAGTCAGTCTTGATTCCGTAAAGAGTCCCGTTTTTCATGTTTTATAAGACTTGTCATCAGTTTTGTTTTTTATACACCATAGCTTAAACAAATAGGTGCAAAAAAAAAAAAATGTGTACCGAAATGAAATAGGAATACAAAATTTTAATTCATAAAAATTGGAATAAAACCTGTTAAAAACAGTATTTGGTCAGTATTTTAAATTAGGGCGCATGATGCAGCATGTTGAATGAATCCACTGAAGCCAAGCAGCTCATCTTCAGTCACATTCGTCTTTAACCTCGGTTAACAAAATAGTTGATGCAAACTTATTAAAACAATCTATATTTTAATTTGCAAACTTATATTAGATTACAGAAAAAGGTATTTGGAAGAGTCAGTACATGTGTTGCTCAGTTTTAAAAGGGGGATCTTTGAAGGGAATACACAAAGATCCGTACAACCACACATTGTGTTACATCAATAATTTCTGAAGGTCTATCTTAACCACTGGCCTCTACAGGATACTATAAGCTACAATCTTTGTAGGATTTATATATTTAATTAACAAACAAAGCTTATTTACCTATCAGGAGCCTGGGTTATGAGTCTTTACCTCGCTGCTGCCATTTCTTGTAAACACTACCAAGGCATTAACAGGGCGGTGGTGAAAAAAAAAAAATCCTCAACTCCAGGAATACAAAAACAAACGACAGATACAAAACAAAACTAGCAATCAGGATCAAAAAGCAGCTGCCTACAGAACAAGAGGAAGCCAACCCAACTTGATGGGAAACTATTTGAAGTCACTGTGCAGAACACAAAAAATGTACAGACGGGTCGGATGGAGTCCCAGTCAGGGACGGCGTTAAAGACCCGCTGTGGGGTACTAAACACAGCATGTTAAGGCAGACTAGGAAACATTTTGATCATAATGTCTGTCTGCCAAAGGTTAATAGCAAAAAAAAAAATAAAAATAAGGAGTAACTACTCAAACATTTTACATTCTCCAACAGCAGTGTGTTTTTATAGAGGGATGGCTTATTAAAAAATGGGTTAGACATACAAAGATTTCGGGTGGACGAGTCAGAAAACAACTACAGTTCCCTTGGATCACACCTCCCCCAGAGCTGTGCTGCAGGTGCACGTGATTCAGGAGCAGAGCTTTACGGGTGCAAACGCCGCCTCCGCTTGTTCAATATTCATCTACAGCCCTGAGAAAGCCAGACAGAAATACAGGCATGGGACAGAGGGGTTCAAGAAGCGCACACAAAAAGGGTGGGGTTCAACTCCCATGATGACTGTGGTTTTGAAGGACTGTGCTCGTTGGAGTGGCGAGCTGTGGGCGAGTTAGTCTTCGTCGTCGTTTTCCTCGTACTCGTCCTCATCGTCGTCGTCCCCCATGTAAGAAACTGGGGTCTCAACGCGAGAGCCGCTGTAGTGAGAGTCATTTGAGCTGGATGCCATGGTGCCATCGGTGCAGCCGTCACTAGAAAACGGTCGAAAGGAAAAAAAACAAAAACTAAATGAAGTCTTTCATTAAAATAAAGCTGGATTAATTTCAAGAAAAAAAAAAAGATGAGAAAAATTAGATTTGATGCCAATTAGATGACATGACAGCCAAGACTCACCTTGCAGTGTATCGAGCTCCATTAGCTGAAGAGCCTCCAGTTATGTAGACATTGCTGATGGGTCCTTTCGACATTTCTAAGAAATAAGGGGGGGGGGGGGGGGGGGCAGTTAATAAATAAATTGTATTCACTACTTTAAATAACAGGTCCCCCTAAGATTTATACAACTTGGTGTAAAAGGGGAATAGTTTCTCCATTAATCCCTTCAAAAAGGTCAAACTGTTTAATTTAAATAGGCTACATTCAAACAGCAGGCTGAATTTACCCAAATCTGATTTTTTTGCCCTTTTCATCACAGTCAGAAAAACACAGATCCAATTCTTTCCAATGCGACCCCAGCTTACCTTGGCTATATGGTCCTGAACGCCATTAATACTCGACAAAGATCACTATACTACGTCTTGCTAAGCAGAAATGTAAAAAAGAACAACCACCATGACGGACGATAATGCGGAAAGCAGTCTTTATTTTCAACCACCTTGAAAGATTGTGTTCTTTAATACACTGGCTGAGGTTGGGAAATATCGCTAGATGTATTCCAGCTTTACCATCTTTGTTTGCTAAACACAGAGCATGCTCGCTTGTGACGTCATTGCGTCCCCTACTGCGCATGCAGGACACTTGTTGTATGAATGCAGTTAACACAGGATATCACACATACAAGTCGGATATGACTTCTATGTGAGCAACTACACACAAAATAATTGGATTTCACAAAATAAAATCGGAACTAAGCACCAAGCCTGCCGTGTGAACGTAGCCATGGAGATGTTTTTTTTGCAGGTGTCCTTGCATCACCGTTATTTGCACACAGGTAAAGTTAGAAATAACGTCTCCACTGAGAAATCATGAAGTATTTACCTATAACGTAGGGTTCCAGGGCTTTTGGAACCAGGCTCCGTGCAATTTTCAGATTCTCTGGAGAGCACTTCCCCACCTCCAAACCACAGGCCATGCCCATACGTTTTAGCACCTCGATGTCGTCATGGATCTCAAACATGCTGTCAAAGTTGAACAGATACTCGAACCTGGAGATGAGGAGCAGGACAAAGACATAGTTAAGATTCCAGAGGCTTCATTTGAAAGAAAATTAGTTATGGAAAAGACTGGAATTAGTTGAGATGCATCAGAATGTGTGACGATGTTGTTCCACTAATTTTAAAATGGGGACTACAAATAACAGGCATTGTTTCCAAAGCTAGCGCCTGTCTTAGCAACCAAGGGTTTAAGGCTAATAAATCAAGACAGCTTTGCTTAAACACATTCAGGGTCCCTGCAAAAGTCTTATTACCCCATTATTACTGAAGTAATAAGGGGGTAATGATTTGATGATTAACAACCTTACTAAATGTGGTGGAAAATTTTCCAACTTCTCATAAACTTACTGAAAACTATACATTTTTATCTTTTGTAGTAATGCGTACAATTTTAATCAAGAACTTATCAAAGTTACTGGATATTTTTTAGCTTTTGACCCTTCCTTAAAGCACTAATCTATGAAACCATTATGTGTTATTTGAGCTTAAAGGAATAGTACACCCAAAACATGATTAGCCTTCATTTTCTACTCACCTCCATGCTGAACAACACTCTGGAGTACTTTTTTGATATCTCAAATGCATCTGGAGATCTGGGAGGCTTCTTGCTGTCTGCTGACATTCAAATAATGGAGGTCCATGGCGCCCGAGACAGAAAGGTCCATAAAAGTCCACAAAAACGTGTCAATATTCCTCCATACTGCTCGTCCAATGTAATCCAAGTGTCCTGAGTGGGTAGCATCCAGAATTTACTCGAAACGAAGTCATTTAGAATGTTTTTAGAGCATAAACAGTAGTGTATAGGATTACCTAATAGCGCCCCCATGCGCGCTCGCGATTCTACGGAAGCCGGCAGACCAAACCAGCGCATTCAGCTCGGCAAAGAACTCATGCTCTTCCTCAACACTGAAGTCCTCAGACATTTTTCTTTCGTTGTTTCTTTCTTTGCACAGGTAAACAGCACATTTCTTCTTCTACGCTTGCATTATCGGCAGACCAGACGCTGAATGCGCACTTTCTTCCGGTTTGGTCTGCCGGCTTCCGTAGAATCGTGAGCGCGCATGGGGGCGCTATTAGGAAATCCTATACACTACTGTTTATGCTCTAAAAACATTCTAAATGACTTCGTTTCGAGTAAATTCTGGATGCTACCCACTCAGGACACTTGGATTACATTGGACGAGCAGTATGGAGGAATATTGACACGTTTTTGTGGACTTTTATGGACCTTTCTGTCTCGGGCGCCATGGACCTCCATTATTTGAATGTCAGCAGACAGCAAGAAGCCTCCCAGATCTCCAGATGCATTTGAGATATCAAAAAAGTACTCCAGAGTGTTGTTCAGCATGGAGGTGAGTAGAAAATGAAGGCTAATCATGTTTTGGGTGTACTATTCCTTTAACGCAAAGGTAGTTGCTTTTTCTATGAAAAGCAAAAAACTCTTGCTCCTTCAGCTCCTCTTGAACACCTTAAAAGCTTGAAGCCTTCTTGTACAATTCATCCTCATAATCTCAGTTTGTGTTCCTTCGATCATTGTTGGGTTGGAAGACCACCCATAGTCCCTATTAAAATGTGCTAATGCCATGTTTTCTCTCGTCTACCTGAGGTCTAATTTAAAACATAGAAGAGCTGAAGGTCACATACTTGTCGTTTGAGATGCTGCAGTCGATGACCGTCTTCTTGCTGGTGTTGACGATAATAAATGGAAGGTGAATGATGGAGTTTGGAGGCGGGGGTCTGTTTGCTTGCTGCTCTGTCTCTTTATTCCTCTTTACAAGGTTCTTAAAGGCTATTTGCTGTAAACACACAAACCATGAACTGTTAAGCAGCTACCAGACATTTTAATATTCAGCATCAGATTTTACATCAGAGTAAAAGATGTCGTACCAGCTCTACTCCTAAATTTAAGTAACAACTTTCCTCTCAATGCTCTGTAGGTTGCATATTGTAAGCTTTTAGATATATTTAAACCTGAAATATTAAAGTTAGACATAACTAGTTGTACGAACTCTCCTTGAGCTAGAATTGAGTTTAGAAAGGGCTTTTTTTACTGGATTTGAGGAATCTTTGCCCATTCTTCTTTACTGAGTTTTACTCTTAGTGAAAGGCCTGTTTAATGTCACAGGTCTTGGACTAAACCACTCCAAAACATTAAAAAGTTATTCAGAGGCGGACTTTTTGTTGTGCAAAATAAGGATTTGAGTCTTTAAGGTTTTCCGTAACATCCTGGTTTATAGAACTAAATTACACTCGTGAATCTCAGTGGACAAAGTTCCCCAATAGTCTATGTTCGTACTGGGAGACCTTAAGCCTTTCACCTCTCTTAAAAGACACTTTGCTTTTTAAGTTTTCTAGCCTACTTTATGTAAACGGAGAAGATCCATTTAATTAACTCTTTAAGTAAAATTGATTCAACAAGTTTAGATTTAAGGTGTATGGCTATTGACATGGAATTCATTGACCAAAAAACCTTCATCTATAAACCAGTGAGGAGGATTCATTTATAGGATTCATACATAGGGCATGGTTACATTTAAATAGCTTTTTACTAGGGGTGTAACAATTGTTTGTTTAATCGTTCAATCAATTTTCATTCCTGTAAAAATACAATAAACAAAATTGGATGAACCAGTGTCAAACTGTTTTAAAAGGTAATTAAGCGATATTATTGATATTAGGATATAACACTGAAGAAGTGGTTTACTTTTATTTTTTTAAATGAGTTTTATGTACGGTAAGCTTTTTTAATGATAGAGGCACTAAACGAGACTCGATTAAATTCATCTGTCTCAGTAAATCAATACACCTTTATTGTTTACTATAATTTGCATTGTAATTGAGATTTCAGTTTCAGTACAAACCGTTTATCAGGAAACGATTGACTGAGGCCATGCGTGTCAAAGAACGCTGCCGTTAGGCGCATTCTTTCGGTTAGGCAGTTGCCTTAAGGCGCTGCCCATCTGTGACATGATGAAAAGCAGCGCAGACTTCAAAACAACTTGCCAGATGGATGATGAGTCACAGAGCTTGAGATTACTAACGATAATTAACAATCAACAGTAATGGTGCAGCTGCATCAAGGTAACGTCCTCCTTTCTGGAGAGCTGACCAGCAGCTCTGCACAAAGCTCACCAGGATGTTTAGACAGAAAGAAAAACAACATATGCAAAGAACTACAGCCAGATCATGTTGATCATCTGACAGGAAAATACACGTGGCCATTTTCTATTACAGGTGCTGGTCATAAAATTAGAATATCATGAAAAAGTAGATTGATTTCAGTAATTCCATTTAAAAAGTGAAACTTGTATATTATATTCATACATTACATACAAACTCATATATTTCAGATGTTTATTTTGTTTAATTTTGATGATTACAAATTACAACAAATGAAAATCTCAAATTCATCATATCAGAAAATTAGAATATTGTGAAAAGGTTCAAAATTGATGGCCCCTGGTGCCACACTCTAATCAGCTAATTAACTCAAACCACCTGCAAAAGCCTTTAAATGGTCTTTCAGTCTAGTTCTATAGGCTACACAATCATGGGGAAGACTGCTGACTTGACAGTTGTCCAAAAGACGACCATCGACACCTTGCACAAGGAGGGCAAGACACAAAAGGTCATCGCTAAAGAGGCTGGCTGTTCACAGAGCTCAGTGTCCAAGCACATTAATAGAGAGGCGAAGGGAAGGAAAAGATGTGGTCGAAAAAAGTGTACAAGCAAGAGAGATAACCGCACCCTGGAGAGGATTGTGAAACAAAACCCATTCAAAAATGTGGGGGAGATTCACAAAGAGTGGACTGCAGCTGGAGTGAGTGCTTCAAGAACCACCACACACAGACGTATGAAAGACATGGGTTTCTGCTGTCGCATTCCTTGTGTCAAGCCACTCTTGAACCACAGACAGCGTCAGAAGCGTCTTGCCTGGGCTAAAGAGAAACAGGACTGGACTGCTGGTGAGTGGTCCAAAGTCATGTTCTCTGATGAAAGTACATTTTGCATTTCCTTTGGAAATCAAGGTCCCAGAGTCTGGAGGAAAAGAAGAGAGGCACTTCATCCACGTTGCTTGAAGTCCAGTGTAAAGTTTCCACAGTCAGTGATGGTTTGGGGTGCCATGTCATCTGCTGGTGTTGGTCCATTGTGTTTTCTGAGGTCCAGGGTCAACGCAGCCACATACCAGGAAGTTTTAGAGCACTTCATGCTTCCTGCAGCTGACCAACTTTTTGGAGATGCAGATTTCATTTTCCAACAGGACTTGGCACCTGCACACAGTGCCAAAGCTACCAGTACCTGGTTGAAGGACCATGGTATCCCTGTTCTTAATTGGCCAGCAAACTCTCCTGACCTTAACCCCATAGAAAATCTATGGGGTATTGTGAAGAAGAAGATGCAATACACCAGACCCAACAATTCAGAAGAGCTAAAAGCCACTATTAGAGCAACCTGGGCTATCATAACACCTGAGCAGTGCCACAGACTGATCGACTCCATGCCACGCCGCATTGCTGCAGTAATACAGGCCAAAGGAGGCCCAACTAAATACTGAGTGCTGTACATGCTCATACTTTTCATGTTCATACTTTTCAGTTGGCCAACATTTCTATAAATCCTTTGTTTTTATTGGTCTTCAGTAATATTCTAATTTTCTGATATGATGAATTTGGGATTTTCATTTGTTGTCATTTGTAATCATCAAAATTAAACAAAATAAACATCTGAAATATATGAGTTTGTATGTAATGTATGAATATAATATACAAGTTTCACTTTTTAAATGGAATTACTGAAATCAATCTACTTTTTCATGATATTCTAATTTTATGACCAGCACCTGTATAAGGCTAACATCAGTGGTCCCTCTAATTTTTCATGTCGACATATACACAAGTCCCCTGATTTAACAGAGGACCACTGTGAGCAATATCAGAGGCTTGCTGCAGGTGCTTGCTGAGGCCACATATCAATATAAATTTTTTTTTTTTAAACCCGGGATCATACAAAGTTACATAGCTTATTAAGAGAATAAGAGATTACAGCAGCCATTTCCTTTAGTTTACTTTTAATTTAAAGCTACAGTGTGTAATTTTCAGCGACATCTAACGTCCAGACTGCAGACCGCAGCAACATGAACATCTCCCCCCCACCGCTTCTCCCCCCCAACAGTACGGCGAGCGTTACGGGACAAAATGTCTTCCACGACGTCCGCATCACCTACCTTCTCAAGTGATGAGGTTTGTTTACATAGATAATTTTACAGATAGTATTTCATTAGTCTGTGTAGGGTATAGATTTCATGTAGACTTAAGATAATAAATATACCCGTTATTTTTTCTACGTCGTTGTGACGTTTTGGTGAGCTGCTTTGCATGGTGATATAAACAGACGAAGTAATTGTAGTCATTAGTTTAACAGCGAGATTGTGTTCGCTAGAAGAATATATATTCCCCGTTTAGAGTCCAAGTCTTGTTTGTGGCACGGGGGTTACAAGGCGAGGAAGAGGGAGAGGAAGAGGGCAGAGAGGCCGGGGTGGGCGTGCAGCCAGGGCCAGGCGAGGGAGAGGTGCCAGCGGGGTGACTAGAGCAGAGGAGGAAAGGCTTGAAGATCTCCAAAGGAGCCGGAGAGAAGTAACCGAGGTATATATGCAGAAAATTATTTTACAGAAAATTACTGAATCATTTACCTGTGAAACGTCAGGGACGTGGCTGAATAAGTATACTGGAGAGTAACAGCATCATCACGCAGCATGTTATTGCAATGGGCGATCTCGCAATCGCTAGTTTGTTGGCTCTGCGCTGCCGTAGCGCAAAGATGTCTGCCTCCATGGCTGCGAGACCCGCTCCTATGTAATTATAAATAACGAATTCTAAGGCAACGCAAATATTAAGGTTAAGAGGCTGAGCTCGTAGATGATGATAAATAACATAGTTATGTATAATATATTACATTTCTGACTGTATATCCCTCTAATTATTACACACTGTAGCTTTAAGTGATTTGGCCTACTTAAAATAAAAACAGAAATCTTGTTGGTTGCGAGATGCATCCTGCTTTGGAGGAAAGGAAACGTTACACCTTTTAGACATACATTTTTGTTAAAATTAAAGCATTCACATTTTGCAGTGTTCTGAGGTTTGTGACACAGTGTGAATTCCTGCTGCTCTTTATCAGTAAAATATCTAATTACACAATTATAACCTGGCAGCTGTCTTTCTGCTAACATAAATTATTTAATACTATAAGCTAGGGATGGAACTGTTCATGAAAAGCGTCCGAACCATTCGGTTCGACTGTCTCGGTTCAATTCACGTGGGTTGCGTTCGTTTCATGCGCTGCTCCTTTTTCACGTTTATGTTGAACAACAGCAGTGAAAGCAGAGAGTGAGTCTACTTTTGATTCCCTGAAGGGTTGCTTGCACTTTACTTTCGGGTTAAAGTTTTAATATTTTCAAGTAAAATATTTATATTATTTATACTCAAGTTCCCTTAAACGAAACAACAAAACTCTAGATCTCCAGTATGCAGGTATTAATTTCACAGGCTCACTGGTTACATTTTTGGCTAATGATTTACTGAATCGAATTCATGTCACTAAACTGGATTTAATCAAATTGTTCTAAATGAACCGAAATAGTCAACAAATTGATGATCATCATTGCACCACTTCTTTTTAACTTATAAAAAAAAAAAAATATGTTTTTAAAAAATGCTTTTTGAATTTACTGTTATCAGTTAAAGAGGGGGAAAAAATCTTATTTTATGCCAGAGAAGGTTATATCTGAAAGAAACAACAGCTTTAGGAGAAGAACCAGATTCACCTGCAGTATGAGCTCCTGAAGCTGTGATTGTTTCTGCTTAATCCTCTCAAGTCGCCTCTGTCTCTCCACCTGAAGAATAACAGAAAGAAAAGTTTGATAGTTAACCACGGGGAAAAATACATTTATTGAGACGCCAAGATGGAAAAAGTCTCGTCTGCATCTTTACCTCCAGGTTTTGGCACTCCTGTGCAGAGTTGGTGGGCAAGCCGATCCATTTGATTTCCTTCTTCTCTTTGGAGATTATGTTCATGGCCATGAGCACATTGAGCGCGTCATAAACACGCCGCCGTATGTTCTTTTGGTCGTACACATGCTGTAAACAAAGCAGAACATTTCTTGTTTACTAATAAAAATGGCCAGCTTTCAAACCTTCTGTACGCCACATTGGGAACATCTCCAAGCTCAAACGCTCACCGAGTCGTTAGGAGACATGTGGTTGTCTGAAGAGCTGAATTCTGCCACCAGTTCATCCGCCACTTCGTTGTAGGTGGTGACTCCTTTCTTCTGCACCTTCTCACACACCTTCATAGAGAAATGCCTCAGGCCCTTCCCATTTTTCTCCCCTTTCTTACCCCGTTTTCTGGCAACAGAAGTCATCAACATGTCACTATAGAGTCAAACTACTTGGTAGAATATTAGAACTGTTTCACAATCCACAAACATAATGAAAAAAATCAAAACAATTGAGTGCCTAGTTGTTAAACGGAGAAAATATTTTACAGAAAAATAATGAGAATAAGAATCCAGCCTAATCTCAATAATATACAACTCCTGGTATGTGAGGGACTTAAAGGTCTGTTGAAGATCATCAATGAACAAACAGTATCATTGAGACCAGATGAGGAGGATCTGGTGCAGGCGTAGCCCAAATGACATGCAGCTGCTCACAGAGTAAACTTTTTTCGATTTTATTTGTGATTTTATGTATTTTAAAAAAAACCTTTTCATTCCACATTATGTATTGGTCTTTGGGATGAAATCCCAATAAAATACACTCAGGGTTCTCCTTGTATCTAATGAAAGCAAAGGCATCATTATCCACATGGTTTTAGTTCAACTTTCCAGGAACTTACCCTGATGACCAGGGCGAGGCATCAGCGGGCTGACTCTGAGTTAGGAACTGGGAACTTGGCGTGTGTGGACTGTTAACTAAAATCGTGTTTGATACCGTCGGCCTTTGCGGTGTTCCAATCACCTACGATGGAGAGGTAAGCAGAGACAATAAATCAGAATGACCAGTCATTGTATGAGCTTTTCTTAATCTGATATTAAACATGCACATTATTTAACGGGGTTTCAGGAAAATATTGGGCTCCTGCAACTCTAAGGGAATCTGGTTCGCTCTGCTGACCTAAGAAGAGACCTTTAACCACGTCTCTGTCTTGCTGTTGGTCTTTAAAGCATCTAAATATAAGATCAAATGTTATATGGGTGTTTAGAAGCATTCCAAAGTTTGAATAAGAGCTGGGCTTTAAACAACTGCTTAAGCCCCCATCACACCATGACGATTTAGCCAGCATATGCTCGATGTACAAAACATATCTTGCAAAAACGTTGGCATACGTTGGATAACTTATGGGTCAGTTTTGTATAAGTTATGAGTAAGTAGGGCTGGGCGATAATTCAATAACGATATATATCGATCGATAGACGTGTGGCGCAATAAAAAAAAATAGGCTCGATAAAAGTTCGATAAAAAAGAAACGCAGTTTTCCTTCCTTCTTATTGTAGCCTAGCATGTAGGTTTATGCTAGTCACTGCTTCCTCCCAACCAATCACAATCGCGGACCCAGGAATGCCGTCACCAAGCGCCGCCCTCTCAAACCACAACACAGAGCACATGAAGATGCAGCAAGGAGAGGCGGAGGAAATTATTCCAAAGAAGGGTTTTTGTAGTTCGGCAGTCTGGCAGTATTTCGGTCATGGCAAGTCGGACAAAAAACAAACCACAGTCATCTGTAAAATGTGTAGGGAACCAGTGAAAACCAAGTCTGATAACGCAACCAATTATTTATTTTTTTTATCATCTCAGCCGCTCACACCCGGAGGAGTACGAGCTGTGTAGGCCCCGGTGCGGCTCTCCTCCGAGGAATCTTCGGGAATTTCGGGAAAATATATATATTAAGTTCTGGGCAGTTTCCCACGTAGTTCTAACAATTGAGAGAAAAATGCTGAGGGGCCAGAAACTTCAAAGTACTAACTCAGGTTAAAGCAGGAAACTAAGCTGAACCTGGTTCAGCTTAGAAGAATGGGGCAGCGGTGGTGGGGGGGGATCCATTTATTTTGGTCACTTTAGTTTATTCTTTGTCAGTATTTAATAACATAACTCAGGTCTCATAAGTTATTTTTCTTTAAAACAATTCTGTTATAGTTAAAAAAGTTGGTTAAATAAATATTTAATTGGAAGTCTGTGTTTGTGTTTTTTATTAAAATTAAATCATTTAGCAATATTATAAAAAGTCCAGGCATAGCTGCACATAAAATATGGTTTCAAATCTTTTCAATAATTACCGATATCGATCAATATGCATTTTTTTTAATCGAGAAGCTTTTTTTCTATATCGCCCAGCCCTATGAGTAAGCTAGCACATCGACATATGGCAAGTATGCCAACGTTGCCATACGTGCGCCATAAGTTACAGGTAAGTCATCTGACCGTGGACAGACGTTAAGTGTAAGTTACTCTAAAGTCACAGCCCCTAGCTTATTCCAAACCTGTGAGTAACTTGTGCATAACTTATAAAGCATAACTTACAACGCATATCAACATATCTGACGTGTTCCAGACGACCAATGAACATGTTTCTAACTTACAGCTATTGTTTAAAGGTGTATTGGCAGCACTTTGGTATACAAGGGGCTTCACAGGAGTAAACAGTCAGTTTTCCACCAGACTTCAGAGATTTAACGAGATAGACGATCTAGCAAGGCTGAGATGGGAACAGATACTAGCTGCCCTCCAACATCAGCATGATTTCATCAATTTTACCACACTTGTAGGGTGAGTGAGAAGGTGAAGGCCACAACCAACAAACTTCATAACAGACATAAAGCTGAATCTGCTGCAACTGCAAACCCACTCTCTTTTTATTTTTAGGGGAGGTTGGTAAACAGCTGCTATGTTAATACGGCGATCAAAGAAATCTTTTAATACAGGCCAGTGTGCTGCCCCCCTCAGCACACTGGCCTGTGACATATCGTGGGTATTATGCTGCCATGCGTTATGCATAAGTTAGGCCGTCGGACATAATTTCTGGACTCGTTATTAATACTCTATGTCTACGTTCAAAATAATAAAAAAAAAAAACAGAAAGTTCAGCATATGCCAGCGTTTTAGAAGATTCTGGGACGTCAGACATATACTGGCTAAATTGTCGAGGTGTGACAGGGGCTTTCAATGAAATTTAACCCATATTTCTCTACTTCAGCATATTTGAACATATAATGACTTTTCATAACCATTTGATTAATATTGCATCAGATGCTGAAAGAAAAAAAACCCTGCAACGGCCCTGACAAACAGAGAAATTAACTTTTACAATGAGAGCCATTTTTTTGTTCTACCTAAAATATTATTACAACTGCAGATATGATCAGGGATACTTCAGATTCTACATCAAAAGCTATGTTACTTTAGACTATGATAGGGCCCTGGATGAATATCACCAAGCTGATAGTCAGGATCACCATGATGCACATTTCAGGTCAGCTTCATGTCAGGGAAAAGAAGAGCTACATCTGAGGGTCAATGGTTATGGGGGAGATTTAACTCAGACTGACCCTTCGATGTAAACAATACTCAGCTTTACTATGTAGACAATTATAATTCAATGAGGTTTTTTATTGCTATAATATACAGACATAACCAAATGGATCCAATGTCTGCTTTTTGGCGAAAAAAATTTTGTCATTTGGTAAATAACAGCCTCACCAATATTAACACGAAGAAGCCTCCAGAGGATAAGTGATCTATTCCTTTGCTAATGTAATATTTAAGCTGATTTCCGTTGTGTATACATTGCTTCAGCATAATGAGATGATGGGTGTAATCCTGCTGACTGCAGAGTTGATAGGCTTAGGATCAACTGGCTGCACCTACCCTCTGCCCGGTCACCTCACAATGATAATAGGGGGGCTTACACAACATTAAATGAAGAACTGCAAGCAAACTAAGTTTTAATAGCTGTGGAAAAAAAATGAATCTGTGGTAATCGTTTATTAAGGTGGCCTAAGGTGCACTCACCATGTGTGGCACATGTTGCATGTGTGTAGCAACGTTCACGTTAGACGGTCCGAGGGTTTTGGGTAGAAGCTGTTTGGGAGCAGCTGTAGGCTGGACAGTAACCAGAGACAGGACACCTAAACAAGACATAGGGAAGATCAGTGATGAAGAGGGCTATTGAATGAAACTCCATTGCCCCCTGTTGTTCACTCGCAAACAGCAAGGCATACACCTGGAAAGAAATGGAAGTACACCAGGGGAAGAGATTAGCCTAAAAAAATATACTGCTACACTGAAAGATTAACAAACATTAGGGAATACCTTTGCCAGGGCTAAGATTCTGATCGATGAAAACTTTCAGCTCTCCATTTGTTTCCATCAGACCAGCCTGAAAAAACAAAAAACAGAAACAATTATGGATATAGAAAAAAATATGCGAATAAGTGAAGCAGATCCTTAACAAAATAGAAACAGGTCTGCGTCAAACAACTTAGAATACACCAATAAATTCAGTCCTGAATTACAACTAAAGACCAGCAACAAAACTAAGACTGCAATCCAATCCTAATAAGTAGAGCTCCATAATGCTAGACGGACAAAGGAGAATTAAAAAACACTTTAAAGCAGGTAATTTGTACAAAGTTCAACTGGAATCGTCTTTAAAAAAAATAAAAATAAGGATTCCATGTCATATTCAGCCAAGTATTTCCATCGTCAAAACTTCCTGGTGGCAAAGGCAAAATGATCCCTGACTTTGGAGATGGAAGGAGCTGAGCTTCATTATGAGCTGGACCTGTAACCACATTCTACTCTGTCCAAAGTTGGATGCAGCGAGGCGGTCTTGAGGGTTATGGTAATAAAAGTCTAGGGACAGACTCCCAGAAAAAACAATTTTGTAGTACTAAAACTATAGGAATTATGTAAAAGGCTGCCAGTCCTTGTGCAGGATGATTCTGGGCCAAAATAAAGGTCATTACTGGTGCTGACTGCAGCACGGAAACAATCAGAGTGTCTGCAAAGAGAAGAGCTTCGAAGTTAGCGACAGCCCTTCATGACATCGCCTTCAGCACTTGAAATACAGTGCTGAAAGTGATCAACTGAACATGTTTTTAGTTTTTTATTAGCTCTGGTATAAAACTTTTGATAGTGTGTTGAAAGGCCCATTCTCGTTAAACTGTTTTCCAATTAATTCCCTGCTTAGACATATTTGTTCCTCTCAAGCTCCCATTTCTCCTTTTAACATGAAGGGTCTCTACTTGAAAACATTAGGATCAAACAGAGCAAAACAAAAAGTCTTGCCTTTGTTTAACTGGTCTTAAGGTTTTGATCTGCAGCGTAGCATGACAACATTTCTGACCAACTATTTTCATTTTTCAGTTTAAATATTGCCTTTAGGGCAATATATGAATATACTAATTTTAAAGGACAATATTAATTTGTCTTCATGTTAACAGTTTAAGTGTACATATAATGTATACAGGAAAGAAAACAAATGACCCTCAGCCTCTTTTGTTGTTCTTCAATTTAAAATTTTTGCATTCCTCAGCATTTGGTGATTAGACTTTTTAACCTTTATTCTACATGACTTGCTATAAATGATGGCAGTGTTCTGATGGCACTTCCTCATGACGGAACTGGTGTTAGTCATTTTTTTTTGTCCCGCTTTGCTAATACACTTTAGCTCTGGCCACACTTTCCTGTTGGACTGAAATCAGGGTTTGTGAAAGCAACTCCACAGTACAGAACACAAACTCGAACCAATGTAGTTCTGTGCTTTGAGCCATTCTCCATTTCCATAGCCTGTTTGAGCCCAAGATTACACTTCCTCTCTGATATCAAGACAGTGCTTTGATCTTTCCATAATTTCTTTCCTCAAGATGCCCTCCGTGTAACTAAGTGGATCAAAAGGAAATGATGCTGCCAATCTTGTACTTTACAGGTGGGAGGGCGCTCTCAGACTTCACAAGCTTTTCTTCCTAATTTCCATCTGCTTTTTAAGGATGTTCCAGGGAATACAGAGTGTTCGAATAGTGGCATTTAAAAAAAATAAATCTAAGATGTGTAAAGATGACCTCAAAATGGAGCCCTACAAAAACATGAAATCCTCATCTGGGCTCTTCCAAACTAAAAGACTTGTTCTGTTTAGTATATGTAGAATATACATAAGAAGAAAATAATTATGACTTTAAATAAACAGAATATTTAAGGTCACCTACATACCTAAAAATAAGAATAGTCGAATTCAGGCATCCCCAAACTCGGTCCTTAAGGCCCCCTGTCCTGCAGGTTTTAGAGGTTTTTCTGCTTCAGCACAGCTGGTTATAATGATTGCAGTAGACCAAAAGCCTGTTAATCAGCTTTCAATTAAAATCAGCTGTGCTGGAGCAAGGAAACCTCTAAAACCTGCAGGACAGGGGGCCTTGAGGACCGAGTTTGGGGATGCCTGGTCTAATTTAATACTGCATATAAATGATAAAAGATACACTTGTATGCTGCATTTAAATACCTGGTTTAAACTGCACATCTTTCTATTCAGACCTGAGAGGTATGATCATAGATCTACCAACAGCAGAATATTTCTTGAATCTGGAGTAATTGTAGATATATTTTTCTGATAATTACTATTATCATGCTATTATACTATACTAATACTATCATCTTAAAATGTTGGTTGATAATGCGCTAACCTTTAAGCTAAAACATTTTTTACCAAAAAGAAAAGACATGATTTCAAATTCTAATAGAAAGGTAGGTCAGATGATGTGCTTCTGGACTGGAGGTTTTAGGAGCTTTTTGCTAAATGTGAAGAGGACGAACAGATTACAAAGCTTCAGCAGTGAAAGTTCAGATGAGTAGTTTTTACTCTTGTGAACAGAACAGGTTGGTAAAGGATAGTTTGGTGTGAAGCTTGAGGTTTCACCTTAGATATATATTTGTATTTGCTTTTACAAGGGCTCTAGATTTTAATGTGAAGGGCAAGAAAAAGGCAAGACCAGAAATGTGTGACATTGACCAAATTGTTTAGAGGGTGAAAGAGAAGCGCAGATGAGAAAATGTAAGAAAATAAGCATCCATTGCACCCAATAGCATCATCAGAATATTTACCCTCATCACCACTGCATTATTTTCCCAAATCATGAAGCCTTTTCTTTTACAAAAATTATTTGTTTTGCCCACTACAGACGCACTAATCAGGTTTTTAGTGACATATTGAAGTTTTCTATTAGGTTGTCCTTACAGACTAAAATTTTGACCAACTCGAAGTTTCCCTTTAAGAGTTTTATTAAATTAAATATAGTTTATATTTATTTTTCCATTAACATTTATAATAAGCAAATAACAGTAACAGAAAAATGAAACTGTGTCTGTACTTTCTCGGTAGGAAATGTGGTTTTCATCACTCATTTTGGTTTGGGTCAGGATCCAAAATCTGAAAATGCAATATAGCTCACCTGACCTTTAACATGTATCAAAGCCAAAATAAACTACCAAACGCTGCAAATATAAGCATTTTAGGAAAAAATGAAAAGCTGGAAATAAACCAAATAGCCAGAGAGACTCAAGTATTTCAGTTAGTTTGTAATAAAAACATTAAATGAATAGGTACAAAATGGCTTGCTTCTAGCATTAAAACACAAATGAATTAGGAAGGACAGACCTGGGAAAGAAATTGGGGTGAGAAATTTTACAACTGGTAAAAAGCAAGAAGAAAAATAAAATGTTCTGCAGGTTTTTCAATTAAGATGGTAGCTTTAAACCCAACGGAGAAACAAAAATATTTTGTTATGACCCAAAGAAAAAGTTTTGATTAATTCAATTAATAAAAAAAACATGTAAAAAGATTCCTAATAATCAATCTGGGGATTTCTTGATTGATGATGGAAAACTGGTTGGTTTTAATCCATTAACAACCGAGTAGTGCATCACTGATCTTTTAAAATACAAGATTTATGCAAAATATCAACTGATTTTGACTGTAATCGGACTCAATTTGAACTGTGTGTAACCAGATAGAGGATTTAATTATAATAACATGACCTTATTTCGCGAAAAATAAATCTAAACCGATATAGAATTCTATTAAACTGCATATAAAAAGTACCCATATGTCAAGTAATGTGCCTTAAGATGGTATGGATTTTATGTAACACTGGGTAAATAAAACTAGGTATGCCTTGAAAATGTTTAAACTTTATTTAGATACATTTATTGACATATAAACATTTAATTAAATATTTATGAGTTTACTATGAATGCCTAATTCTCAAAGTTGAGACATTTTCAAGTCGATAAGTTTTTACTTCTGGCCTCAGCGGGTAACTAATGAATGAATTACATCAGGATCAGGTGAGATGCCAGGCTTGGATAAGACTGGGCCTGTATCAAAATAAACTAAAACAAATAAATAAAAATCTTCTCAGGTAATATAGAGAGAATTTTAAACAAATTTGATCCCACATCCTCCATCACCAGCGTTTTTTGGTGTGATTTTTATTTAGGATTTGGGGAAAGAATTGAAGAAAGTAAACATACCTGCAGCGGTACCTGTTTGATCTATGGACGGTTTTCCATCCTTGCAACAAAACTAGCAGCAGTAGTGGAGTTTGGAGATGCATTCCAATTCTTAAATCTATCTTTGTTCTCCACTAATTTATCCAGAAGTTCCGCAATTGCACTTTTTCCCTCCCTCCCAACTTGGTCATCGGCTGTATATTTAGCTTGCCTTCCCTTTCCAAATTTTTATTTTTTGACAACTTCTCATTATAAAGCAAAAATGCAGGCAATCCTTCCGCATTGATAATGAAAGCAAACGATTCGGTCCATTCTTTGAATCCTCTTTTCTCATTAGCTATCTTCCTTATTTCCCTTTGCCGCTTTGTTTGCCTGGCACCGCACAGTTGTAACGACTGATCTCTATGGCTATGATGCAAATTATTGATTAAATGTTTTTATTACACAAATGTATACAGCATTAAAAACACAATTTTTCTTTAACCTCCTGCACACCATATAAAAAAAACAATATATAGATTTTCATACATTTTTGAACAGCGCCAGGGAGCCGCAAGCGGCACGCTAAAGAGCTGCATGCGGCTCCACGGCTGCGGGTTGCCGATCCCGGCCTAGTGGGTTAGAGCAGTCCACTTGTGCTCTGAGAGATTTGCAAGTACATGGTTTGAATCCCACTGCCTTCAAATTAGGTCCCTTAGAAAGAACCTTAACCCCTGATTGCTCCCTGGGCACTGTACAATGGCAGCCCACTGCTCCACAAGGGAAAGGGTTAAATGCAGAGGTAAATTTCTCCTATTTGAGAACATTAAAGTTCCATTATTATTATTATAATTAAACAAAAGGAGGCATATACATATTCTTTCATAATAAACATAAACATTTACTTACATCTTTAGCCATGACCCCAAAGTTCTGTGTCAGGATAAAAAAATATTTTATGTCACTCAATACTCAGACTCCTGCAAAGAAAAAAAGAAGGGGAAAAATGTAAAAAATACAAAAGACTGGAACATTTCAAGCTTAACAAAAGAACATCATTTTACAATAATAATAAAACTAAAGCTAGTTCAGATAAAAACTAAAATGTCTCCAGAAGATCCTTCCAACTTATTAGAAAACCCAAGGCCCAGTTGATTTGCTGACTGGGACCACACTATTCAAAGCTAACTACATCCCTATGGTTAGCTCCACTTTTATTTTCACACTGGCAAACATACGGATGATGTGCTTCGGCTATTTTACTTTTAACCCCTAAAGTCGATTAATCTGAATGAGTCCTGTATATTTAAAAAAATGCACATTTGATCATCCCTAGATGCTGTGAACTTTCACTACGCTAAGAGAGCACAAGGCCTACTTCAGGTACAGAGCACGTCCGGAGGAGAGGCATCGTCCAACTTCTGCTACAGGTCACGAAAACAAGCTAACTTTATCACAACAGTGAACAACTACTGGCGTGGCTTCGCTGAGAGGCCGATATGGTGACAGACCGTAGAGCCTCACGCTACAACAGCAGCCTTCACATCATATATTGACAGCAATGTAGAAATCTTTTGTTGACTGCAGCTAGCTAACCGTTTCTGCTAACAGCGAGCGTTGCTGTTAGCCTGCTACCAGTTAGCCCCTGCACGCTTTCAGCCGATTCCCGACAAATTCAGAGATCCCTGCTCCCCTGCTGCACGTTAAAGCCTCGTCTGACCAAGAGCTGCCTTTGGGGAAAATAAATGTGCTTTTCCCCACATTAAGCACAGTTAATATCACTCGATCTGTGCACTTACGAGTGCACTCTCTTGTCTCTTCGACGGCTGTTGTTGGCATTTAAGAATGGAGGAAGAGGTGTCGGTGTCTCCCATCTAAACAGGAAACTATGCAATGTCGATGCACTTTTAATTCGTTTCAGGAATAAATCGAAAATATACGTTTTACTGATAGAACCGTTTTTTTTTTAAAGGTTTGTGTTATGTTTTGTCTTTGTGTATGCTAATTCGGTAAGCGATGCCAGAATTTGCCTGTTGGTCATGTATGGCAGCTGGTAGTTTGTAATCGGTGCTGACTACAACCCAAGGCTGTTATAGTTAAGTAACTAAATAAGATTTGAATAAACCAAACTTTGGAACTCATTTACCTCTGCTCTGCAGCTATAGTGATAAATGAGTAAACCATCTGAGTTTAACAGGACGATTTGAATGGATAAAATGTGTACTAAGAGGTGAACTGATCAGGTTTAAGCACAAAAAAAGCCTAAAATATGACAAAATAAAACAGTATTCACTATTTATTTTTTCGAGTTGAATTTGCTTTTATCATTTTAATCCAAGAATCACATCACAGTCACGAAAACAAAAACACTAGCCTAACATAATCTGCATTTTTAAAGATAAATACGTTCTTTACAAGATATTTGAACCACGGTGTTTTTCTTTTTAACATTTGAAATCAATAAGTGCCCTTATAGAGGAAATAATGGCTGTATTAACTGCGAAATCTACGCTAAAGCTTCAACATAGTCTATACGTTTACTTTAAATTAAGCGTTAATGCCTTGTAAAGACACCACTAAAGCTCTACATTATGTATTACTATTGCGATAGCCATATCAGAACTGTTTGTTGACATGTTCGATATACAAGCCGTAGTCTCTCTTCTGAAATACCCAAACATGTACAGAAGATCAATAAGTAGTTATGTTATGTGGTCAGCTCAGCTAGGAGCTAGCTGAGTTAGGAAACTGCGATTTCCGCTGCTTTGTTAGCCCCGCTGCTAGCGAGCAAGCTAACTCCCAGCTGTCATCAAGATCTGGGCTAGAATTAGCTTAAAGTTAGCGTCGCTAGCTTCGTGGCTGCTTTTGCATGTAACATTAGAAACGTTCGTTCGGTTAATGCGTAATCACATCGGATTTGGACTACGACAGGTGAAGATCGACCAACAAGTCAGTAAACGCATCTTACCGGTGCACTTCCAAGGTAGCAAATGCACTCTGTTAATAGCCCAGCTCACAGCAGCGCCTCTCATAATCTGATCTTGGCGGTGTCTCGCAACAGCTTCTTCTGATTGGTCAGCGTAGAGGAGACGAAAGCAAAACAGTAAAGAAGTCAGCGCCCACACCATTGCATCTCCTGGGATTGGTGGATAGGAATCGGTGTTTGAAATGCAGTTAGCGCCACCTACGGCATAGGAGTAGAACAGTAATGTTTATTTTCCCGCACTTTGCTTCTGCTTTTCTGTTGTATACAAAACCCAAAACCTTCAAGTAAATGCACAGCAGCTCCATTGAGTATCAGCGGAAGTTGGACTAACTGAAGTTAACTAGTGTAACTGAGATGAACTTTAGTTAGAATATAATGAGTTGTTATAAATTTATTATATATATATATATAAATATATGCTGTGTAGTTAAAGCCAACCATCACATGTATCTGATGTTTATTTGCAAACTGTAACGGCTTTTCAATAAAACCTCTTCCTATGCTCCAGGCAATTACTAGTATTATATCATTCATTTATTCCCTTAGTTTAATCTTTCAAGTGGGCTTGCTCTCTTGCAAATGGGGTGTTTCTATCAAGTCTAGCAAGCATTTCCTGTTATTGTGTTTACTTTATCTTATAGTGAAACCTGGCTGTTCTACACTCCTTTGATTTCGTTCTTAATCTATTTTTAGCCATCTTACAATAATCTTTTGAGCCTAGTAACAAAAGAATGCAACTGAAAATAAACTGCTATCTGAGATTAATAGAGTTTTCTGTATCCGTCTACTGTAATTGTTATATAGGCTGAGCTCACCATAGAAAATTATCACAAGATCTGGTTTTTGTGGACATTCTCCTTTCAAAGCAAAGACTTCCTCATTGAAAACATCCCATGAAAGTTAAAATTGCATGTTTCCTTTTGATGGATATTGACTTTTTTATATGAACATTTGTGAATTATATACCGGTAAGTCTTGTGGGGGTCTTGCAGGGTCTTTGATGAATTAAAGCATCTTACAGCATTTGAGATTACCTTACTTAGACAGCCAAACCTTGATATGATGACAGTTGTTTTGAATGTCCTCAACTTTAAGGCTATTTTCTGAAGATGAGAAATGATGATTTGAAATTCTTTCCAGACCCTTTAAATCTATTACAATAAGCTGTTATAAGGTTCTTTCTGTGGACCTCAGACAGTTTTTTATACCCCACCATGGTGTTCACAGAAAACAGAAACAAATCTGGAGCTCAAAATCATGTCATATAAAGCCTTTATAAACATATTCATAGTTTTCATTACATTTTTGTCCAGATTTAACGGGTTGGTTTCTCAGTTTTGATTTGTACTTTCTCTCAGTATTGTTAAAACTAACGTTATATATGAATAATTAGGGATAAATGATTTGCCAAAAATCAAAATTGGGATTATCTCATCCAATATTGCGATTTTTCTTTGCACTGAGCACATGCATGTAGATATTTTTTCTATTTTTTCATGACTTTGAAAAAATCGCTTGCCCAGAGTCCATTGTTGTAGGAATTTACTGTTAGTGTGAAAAAGTTCTTACATTTCATGCATGGATCTGGGTTTTAGCTACAACAATATCTTCCTTTCTATGTGGTGGCAATGTCACTTTAAGTGCATTAAAAGGCTGGCATGAGAAATTTAGCATCTTACTCTTTTTAAATGTAATGAGACTAAAGCTAGCATTTGAAAATTGCGATTTGCTAAACTGCCATTATATTGCAAATGCAGTTAATTTCCAAGCCTTATGCATAATGACAAATCTGTAACAAAATACAAGATATCAGAAGATTTTATTAGTTGCATTTTATTTGTTTCAGTTTTGGAATAGTGCTGAATAAATAATGTATAGATAGAACTATTTTACGAAATAAAACAGTATTATTTTTTGGCTTTGATAAAATTTAACTTTAATATATAATTTTCCAGTTTACATATGTTTCTTTTATATTTTACAGCAGTTTCATTTGAAGTCCTTTACTTGTCTTTTTTTCTTTCTTATGGACTCTATGTTTACAATTTTCTTGTCATTGTTGATAGTAGTTGTGTTGCATTCTAAAAGTTGTGGGTTTCATTCCAACTTTCTGCCCTGTCACATGTGGATGTACTGTGAATTAAGAAAATTCGTCCAAGGCTACCTCCCGATTTCCATATCTTCATATTAAGTTGTGTTTGTGCTGTAGTCTGGCTTAACGAGCTGTGTATATCTCTGTGAATGATCTGGTCAGGATGACAAGAAAAGCCGTAATAAATACACAGTATTTTTCATGTCATTATCAGGTAATTTTAAAAATTGCCTAAACACTTTATAAATACTTAAGATACCCTACTTAACATGCAGCTGTGGAGACACAGGTTGTTGGTCACCACTCTAAAACATAACAATCAACTACAGACTACTAATCTCTGTTTATTCACTGGATATTTGATAGCCCAAAAAATGTGAAGTTACCTGCCGCCATATTGGTACTCCCCACACTCATGGAGACGTGCCATAAGAATGTCTAAGTGTTTAGCATTTTGCCACAAAAACAAGCAGTTTGCTGGCTCTGGTAAGACATTTCACAGGTAATTTTACAGTCAGTGGATGTACTAACCAAGAAAATCCATATATACGCCGATATATCTGATAGTATAGTGTAAAAACACTTTTTTTTGTTACATGTATATTTGATTTTTGAAATGCATATACTTTTGTATATGTATATTTGAATGTGAATTTTCACTACATGTGTAACTTAAATTATTAAAGGTATTCAATCACTGGATAGTGTATGTGTGTTTGTGTTCATGTGTACATACATACTTGTATGTATAGTATATTCAAATGATCAGGTTCTTGTAACTATGAGCAAAACTCAATATGAATTTCACGTTGCCTGTTTTTTTGCCAATTTATGTGATTTTACTAGTGTAGAAACTGAAGCTCTGTGGAGTTAATACATTGGTTCATTAATTTAGTTCTATTGTAAATCTATGTTAGATTTAAAGGCTAATGCACAGACACAGTATTAAAGTATATGGCATCATGCATGCAAAATTTGCAAATAGGAAAATACTATAGCATTAACAGATATGTACTTGTAATTAAGTCTTGATGTAAAACCTTGAAATTATATGTAATATGTAATTACCATAACAATGTAATTATTGCATGTATATAACATGTAGATTATCAGTTAAGCACTTTTGGAAAATTTGTATTATTATTAAAATTTGCATTAACACAAATTTTGTTGTGATGGATTTGTATAGTATGTTTGGTACATTTGGTACCTGGCCGCACAGAAAAAAAAAAAATAATAATTTATGGAGGATCAGAGTCTGAGTGATGTTTTATTTTAAAAAATATAAAAAATTGGGTTATTCTCTCGCAATTACATCAGTCGGCGCATCTGTGCCTCTTGACACAGGTTAATTCAGGTCAAGAGGCATCCTATCTATAACCCTAACCCGCATCCTATTTCCTGCAGTTAGAGCGACCAAAGCAAACTATGGAGCAGACTGGATATCAGGAGCACACTTCGTGTCATTGTCTCCGGACCAGCTTGGACCA